TGCGATTAGTACTACTTGTGAAATGCGTATGCATTATGCAGGGTTATCAGTATCAAAGGGAGGGAGTAAGGTTAGAATTAATAAAGGGAAGGAATGTTAATAATATGGCGCCACAGCAACTAATATGCGTATAGACTATACATTATAATATTACACTATGTAATATTCTACCCACCCAACTGTATACCACACTGCTGTATATTCACTATACAATTACGATACTATATATTACCTTATACATTATATTAAACATTACACTTTACTACTGTTTATTATTATACAATATGCTATACACTATACCATTGACCGTCGCAGTGAAAGGTACTAAGAGGAAGCAACAAAATATGTCAATGGGAGTGTGGTGGTAGGAAGCTTGCAGCGGAGCAAAGAATCAATTCCCTGCGGAGAATACAAGATATATAGTCAATGTCAAGAAGATGAATCCCTGCAGTCACGAAAGCTTTAAATCGAAATTTATTTCACAGTATTTGCCAAGAGACAGTAAGCATGTGTCAATTAGGATCCTGCCTTGGTGTAACGGTTTGCACACTTGAATCGAAATCCAGAGGTCACTGGATCGATTCAATATCCTGGTACGGCAGTTGAAATTAATGGGCAGATTTCTTAAGTCTCCCCACCTCTGTTCATCCAGCAGTATGAATGGGATTATCGGTTTGTAGATCGGCGGCCGGTCTTGTGTAATGCGATCAAGTGGGTATTCCCGCCTTCTTTCAAGATGTCTGGTAAGCGTGGGAGAGGAGGCCAGACTATCCTTGAGAGAGGGGCTCTCTAAAGCTCCCTCTGGTGGAGGCCCTTCCATCAGCATGGTCGTGAGCAAGTATTTGCAGGGCTGTACCTTTACATTTTTTACGACGAATATTTAGTCCATTCCCCAGAATATGCCACTGAATTTTAGAAAAATGTAAATCATGGAATTTACTGAACATTGCGACTTTTATTTATTGATAAGTAGTAAGGAGGAGATGCGGAGACACGGGGGGGGGGGAGGGGGTTGGAGAGGTGGCGTGGGAAGACATGTGGACACGGAATCACAGTGAAGGAGACACGGGGGGTGGAGACACGGCAGGGGGGGGGGGGGGGACATGGGAACATGGGGACACGGGGGAGGAGACACAGGAAGACACGGGGAGCAAGAGGGGATGCGGGGAAGTAGAGGCTGTCGCTTGGTGTGAGCTCTGCCATGGTGATGACAAAGTTCTCAATGGAGCCAGTGAGCGCCGGCTTGCTCGTGTTTCCCAGCATGATGTTGCAATCGGCACCGACAAGACCTCTGTGACATTCAGCATGCTGTCAAAGCCGTTGCTCGTCATGATCTCTTACCCCAAGGCTGCAATGAAAGTTATAAAAAATAGCATACCATTTCAATGCAATACATTAGTTAAAAACGAATGTCAATGGCCATGGCATTTTCCTAGACAAGCTTTATACAGGTTCAGGTTTATTTAAGGAGAGTCCTTCACTTGAAAGGTTTAGCCGGTGTATTTTTTTTGCAGAAGCCCACAATAGAATAACAGTAAAAGTTCTGCACAAATTGGGTTCATAAACACATTTGTTGTCCTGCCATTCTATGACCATACCATAGCCCCACTGGGTTGGGGAGTTTAACACATCTGTGTGAATAGCCAGCAAACGTGGCCACCAAAGTGCTGACACACAGGTCCACACGCCCAGCATGCTGGCCGTTAACTTATAATGTTTAACCTATACTGGCTTAAACTCTTGACAATATGAATAAGATATGCAATCTTAGTTCCTGGTCAAAGTGCGCTTATACACATGACCTTGAACCCACAGTATGAGTAACTAGTGGTGTATGAACGTAGCTCTGACACTGGCAATATCCGCGCCATGTATGAAGGCATCAAGACAGTCTTTGGTCCAAACATCAGGAGGACTGCCCCCCTTAAATCCAGCACAGGGGCCATCATCACTGATAAAAAAGAGCAAATGGCCAGGTGGGTAGACCACTACTCAGAGCTCTACTCACGAGACAACAGTGTGTCAGAAGCTGCCCTTGCTGCTGTAAAGCCCTTACCAACGATACACGAACTGGACAATGTTCCAAGCTTGAAGGAACTGGACAACGCCATCAACTCACTAGCCAGCGGCAAGTCCCCGGGACAGGACGGCATCACACCTGAGGTACTGAAATGTGCGAAACCCGCCGTCCTCACAAAACTCCATGAACTTATCTGCCAGTGCTGGGAAGAAGGAGCAATGCCTCAAGACATGAGAGACTCCAACATCATCACCCTGTATAAAAACAAGGGTGACCGTGGGGACTGCAATAACTACCGTGGCATCTCCCTGTTGAGCATCGTGGGTAAAACCTTTGCCCGTGTGGTCCTCAGCAGGTTACAGATACTAGCTGAGAGGACGTATCCTGAGGCTCAGTGTGGTTTCAGAACAGGAATGTCCACAATTGACATGCTCTTCTCCTTGCGTCTGCTACAGGAGAAATGTCGAGAACAGAGAATGCCCCTGTACTTGGCATTCATTGATCTTACAAAAGCTTTTGACCTCATCAGTAGGGGAGGCCTTTTCAAACTCCTCAAAGTGATCGGCTGCCCACCGAAGCTGCTGGCAGTCATCTCCTCTTTCCATGACAACATGAAGGAAACAATACAGCACAGCGGCACCACCTCAGAGGAATTTCCCATACTCAGCGGTGTAAGGCAGGGGTGCGTGCTTGCCCCAACACTGTTTGGCATCTTTTTCTCACTTATGCTCACACATGCCTTTGGGACAGCAGAAGAGGGAGTCTTTCTCCATACAAGATCTGATGGCAAACTCTTCAATCTTGGCCGTCTCAGATCCAAAACCAAAGTCCGCAAAGTCCTCATCAGAGAACTTCTATTTGCTGATGATGCCGCGCTGACAGCTCACACAGAAAAAGGTCTGCAGACACTTATCGACCACCTTGCCAATGCCTGCAACAACTTTGGCCTGACAATCATTCTGAAAAAGACCAATGTCATGGGCCAGGATGTCAGAGACACCCCTTCCATAAACATTGGCAGCAACACCCTAGAAGTCGCTCAGGACTTCACCTACTTGGGTTCCACCATCACCTGCAATTTGTCCCCTGTCACAGAGATTGACAAGCGCATTGGGAAGGCGTCTGCAGCTATGTTCAGGTTGACCAAAAGAGTGTGGGAGAACAAATCTCTAACGCTCAACACCAAAGTACAGGCGTATCGGGCCTGCGTCCTTAGCACCCTCCTCTATGGGTCTGCGTCTTGGACAACATACGCCCATCAAGAACATCGACTAAACACATTCCACCTCCGAAGTCTCAGGCGCATCCTCGGTATCAGATGGCAAGATCGCATTCCCAACACCTCAGTCCTCAACTTGGCCAACATTCCCAGCATGTACTCTCTACTCAGTCATAGGCGCCTGAGATGGCTTGGACACGTGCGCCGCATGCAGGATGGCAGAATACCCAAGGATGTCTTGTACGGCGAGCTGGCATTAGGCACACGGGTCATTGGTCGCCCAGTCCTGCGCTTCAAAGATGTCTGTAAACGGGACATGAAGAGCTGCGACATCAACCCAAATGACTGGGAGAAAACTGCCGGCGACCGACTCAGCTGGCAGCAGGTTGTGAAAACAGGCCTCAGGAGAGGCGAGGGAAAAAGACACACTGCTTGGCAGACCAAGAGGGAGCGACGTAAAGAAAAAGCAACAAACACCTCTGGAGCTGCCACCGCATTCACTTGTAAGTGCTGTGGCAAGGATTGCCACTCAAGGATTAGCCTACGAAGTCATTCTAGGCGCTGCCAAAACCTACAGCTGACCTCGTAAGGCGCAAAAGAATTGTTTCTCGAGACACAAAGGCCTATGATGGATGAACATAGCACATATTTTTATTAGGTTGTGCAGCAATTTAAAACCATTCTAAAATAAATAATGGAGAAAACATGAATTAAAATTCATGAACGTTATTGTCCCAAAAAAATCATGTCCAAAGAAATCAGCAATTGCATTTGAAATAGCATAATTGGTTCATATACATACAAGTAACCTAAAACCAATAATATTGTAAGTGATTTATAACACTAGCTTCATTACACATTTTTGTCAAAACATGGCATTCATATATTTCTTCCAAAAATAATCTAAACAACAGCAAATCACATGGTTAAGTTATGCATTTTAGCTGTGAAGAAAGTAATAAGTCACGTGGATTATCAGTTTAGTATTTTCTTCCGCCATTTTTTCATCCACACTATTGTCTGTGATAGATCACAGGCTGGTTAAGCTGTAGAGAACCCTGACAATAATATTATGATAATGGCTATTATGGTAAAATACACTGCATGCAGGATTGAGTATATTGGTGGACCACCACAGGGCAGTCTGGGCACAGAGGCCGCAATAATGTAATCTCCTAAATAGTGTTTCTTGTCACTTCTCCTACAGAGAAATATTAAAAATAAAATGGAGTTTGCATGCTCTCCCAGCAGTTACGTGGATTTTTCTCCGGGTCCTCTAGTTTTCCACACCACATTTATAAACATGTGTTTACGATTATTTGGTTGCTATACATTTCCACAAGATACATCACTTCGTTGAACTATCTTTTGTGGCCAAGTCGCTTTGGAAAAATAAATACATAGTTCATTGGTCCTTAACTAGTCAAATAAATAAACATTGAGGCTGTTTTCTGTTTTGAGCTAAGCTACGGAAATGGAAAACTTTCAATGGAACCTGAGATCGATCGCCGGTGCCACGTGCTTCCAAGTGTGGCGCGGTCACTTGCTTCTATGATTTCCTCTGTACTACTCAGTAAGTCTTCAACGATGTCACTCATCGTGATCTTTTTTTTTTTACGCGTGTGCATCAGTGTGGGCAGTCATGGTGCGGACTGCTGGAAGGCTGAGTTTCTTGGTTGCTCTTGATTTTTGTTGAGAATAAAGACTTTCATATTGTTACCAGACCATGTTGACTGAGACTATCTCTTACTGTACAATTATGTAATCAGTCATAATCTAGACAACATTTAGCAAAACAGTAAACAATACTTTTTAAACCATTCTAGAATAAATTATGAGGGAAACAAGAGTGAAAATTCACAAGTTTTATTGTCCAAAATAATCCAATTTACAACATCATGGTATTGTCGTTGCAATTAAATTGTCTTAATTGCTTACAACATTAAAAAATTATCTTAATCAAATGTAAAATCAATGATTTATAAACACAAGCTGCATGGCACTTTTTGTCAAAAGCTAGCATTCATATATTTCTTCCAAAAAAAATCTAAAACTAATTATGCATTTAGCTGTTACAAAAAGAAAACTGGTATTTTCTGACCACCTTTTCTCATCCTCATCATTATTGTCTGTAACAGATCACAGGCTGTTTAAGATGTAGGGAACACTGACACTATTAGAGTAATGATGGTTATCATAAAGTACACTGTGCATGCGGGTTTATATATTGTTGGTGGACCACTACGGTTGGGTGCCTTGTTTTGGTCAACAATCAACGCAGGTGCTACGGACGCCACGTTGGAGTTCTCTCCTTTGTTGTTGTTCTTGTCGATGGCTCGTACAGAGAAATAGAGGCTGTTTCCTGGCTGGAGCTCAGCTATGGAGATGGAAAATGTTTCAGTGGAACCCGCGACCGCCGGGTCACTTGTGTTTCCCAGTGTGACGTTGTCTTCAGGCACGATCATTTCCTCTGTGCTATTCAGCAAGCCTTCAATGCTGTCGCTCGTGATGATCTCATATTTTGAAGCTGTGAAGGGGATCCAAACAACAGCATTTAACTGTTACATATGAAAACAGCGAACAATGTCGATAATAAAGGGTATTGGGTTAGATCGCTTAAGTATAAATGTGTCGTAACCGTTCACCACCCGACACAGCCAGCAAGTTTTGTCACGTGAACAACGCATGCCAATTAGTTACTACTTTAGCCCACCGGTGTGTTGGAGAGTAAATCCACAACATTTAAAATTTGAATAATGCTTTGTAAGAATATTATTTCAAGTATGATCGATGAATTGGAGAATTATTGGGGTAAATTAACTGCTGAATTATATGCAGGCTTGTCAATAAGGACAATTCCAGTTATTGGTTGTTAAAATATATATGAATAAACATACCATGGGGTATTATCATGCTATGAAGTGAATCGTAAAGATCCTGGAAGGTAATTGTGATTAAGATAGTGAGTGAGTGCCATGTGTGTTCCTGACGGAGCCAGTTTGTAAGCTGCATATCTGGCTGATGGAGGTCGCGTGTGAGTGCCAAGCGAGTAAGGTCGTGTGTGTGGCGAATTGAGGTCGTGAGTGGTGTGATGCCATGTGTGTGGCTAATGGAGGTCGTGAGTGGTGTGATGCCATGTGTGTGGCTAATGGAGGTCGTGAGTGGTGGGATGCCGTGTGTGTGGCTAATGGAGGTCGTGAGTGGTGGGATGCCGTGTATGTGGCTAATGGAGGTCGTGAGTGGTGGGATGCCGTGTGTGTGACTGACGGAAGCTGTGAGTGGTGGGATGCCGTGTGTGTGGCTAATGGAGGTCGTGAGTGGTGGGATGCCGTGTATGTGGCTAATGGAGGTCGTGAGTGGTGGGATGCCGTGTGTGTGGCTAATGGAGGTCGTGAGTGGTGGGATGGTGTGTGTGTGGCTAATGGAGGTCGTGAGTGGTGGGATGCCGTGTGTGTGGCTAATGGAGGTCGTGAGTGGTGGGATGCCGTGTGTGTGGCTAATGGAGGTCGTGAGTGGTGGGATGCCGTGTGTGTGGCTAATGGAGGTCGTGAGTGGTGGGATGCCGTGTGTGTGGCTAATGGAGGTCGTGAGTGGTGGGATGGTGTGTGTGTGGCTAATGGAGGTCGTGAGTGGTGGGATGCCGTGTGTGTGGCTAATGGAGGTCGTGAGTGGTGGGATGCCGTGTGTGTGGCTAATGGAGGTCGTGAGTGGTGGGATGCCGTGTATGTGGCTAATGGAGGTCGTGAGTGGTGTGATGCCATGTGTGTGGCGAATTGAGGTCGTGAGTGGTGGGATGCCGTGTGTGTGGCTGACGGAAGCTGTGAGTCTGTGTGTCTGGGGCACCTTGGCCAAAGTCGGCGTCGTCCCCAGGCGCCGTCCAAGCCAGGCTGACGATGCCCGGCGCCAGCAACTCGGCCATCAGGTCCAGCACGCGGCACGGAGGGTAGATGTCCCGGGGCCCGTCCGGCGGCACCGTCGCCTGGAAGGAGCCTCCCGATGCCACTCGGCTGAAGTCCTCGCTCGGCACCAGCACCTGCCCACCCGCCGGGGCTGGCACCTGCGTTACCTCCAGCTCCCCTGGTGAGAGAGACCAGAGTTCATTTTGATGATACAGAGCCACGACAAAGTACATTTGGATAGAGATAGAGCCACTTAATAATGTTACCTTGTTAAATAAAGCATTTAATGGGAATTTACTTCCATTGCGTTTCTGTTTAGAGTGTTGGCACATGGTGTTGGCTGTTTATCAAGGATAACCTTTCTCGTTTCGAAAGCCCGGAATGAAGATGGCCTTGGAGCCTCTGCGTGGAGCCAGCCTCGTTGTCCCTTTACTTCCTGCCACTCTGACCTTCAGGCTGTAGCGGCCACTCGACGTGTATTGGGTGAAGTATCTGGAGTACACTCCGTCGTCCTTCTTTATGTCGGCACCTGCGCACAAGTGAGATAAAGCCCTAGATAAATAAAGCATCCCCTTTATGTATCTTGCATACATTTTGTGGATATGAAACAACATTACCTTTCCACAAAATTTGTTTTGCTTTTCAGCGCGATGAGCCGTTTTAGCAGACTCATGGACTCATTTGAACATTATTGATGCATTGTTGTCACAGTCAGTTGGGTGGCAATGAGATTGGCAAAAGCTGACAACATCTATCAAACAGCACCACCATTTTGTTTGGGAGCTGCTCACACCCACAACGTACTCGCGCCGTTGTCCAGCAGCTCAATCTCGAGCGTTGCGCTGCCAGGTCTCTCGATCAGAGCGGTGACGTTTGCGCCGACAACAGGCGTGGTTCCACGCTTCACCTCGGCGTAAATGGTCACGGCGCTCAAAGAGATGCCGCTGGAGGACCGCATGTGTGCCTCCACCGTGATGGGAGGCGCCCCCTTGTTGGACGCCATGCTGGTGACCGTCAGGGTAAGGGTGTCCGTGCTAGGAGCTTTATTGACTAGCCAGTATTTCCACGTCCCAGCCTGAGAACGAAATATGACGTTTGGTTTGAAATGTATTTGTTCATAATACAGGTTTTTTGGGTTAGATGGCGTAAATATAAATGTCGTTAAACCCGCCATCACCCGACACAGCCAATTAATAATGTTAGTCACGTAAACAGAACATGCCGATTCGTTACTAGTACAGCACAAAGGTGTGTTGGAGAGCAAATACACACCATTTACAATCTGAGTATGACGTTTCACCAGTAATTACAACTAGCTTTATCAGGCGACAGCCATATTTGTGGAGAAATCCTCCTCGATTTGTCCTTTAAATAGATGGATAGATGTGATGACGTCACTTGTGAGCCCTTCACGGGCGAAGGGGGGGGTTAATGAATGCATGAATGGGTTATTCATATGGTAATCAACGTACTTTATGCATGCACATTGTTGTTGTACCTCCTGTCATTTATGTGCACTAAAATAGGAGTAGCTGTAATTGTCTGCGCACAGGTAATCCTCATTGACGCATGGTGACATGTATAGGCATGCATTTAAGCAATGTATTATTTGATGATTCGATTCCTAGCAGCACAAAGCCAGTAGCTATCTGAACAGTTAAAATTATTTTAATTTCTCTCAATTTCGATAGATTCTCGAATTAGTCTTGGCCAGTAGTAACTATTTTTGCACAAAACTTCAAAATGATCAAAATGAATTGAGTGTCCGTGTTGGCACACGTCTTCTGCCACTGCCGACAGTTGTATTTGGGAGTATTTAATATTCCATTGGTGTTCTTTTAGTCTCATGCTGATCATTCGTCCTGTGCCCAATATAGCATTTGCCACATGTGAAATTAATCCGGTACACACCTTCTGTTGATAGCTTCATTAATACATCTTTAGTGCCAGATATTAGTTTCTGTATTTTATGTATCATGCCAAATCTCACTTGGATGTTTTGTTTTTACAAAAATCTGGATAATCTATCAGTTACTCCCACAATGTATGGTATTTTTATAATTTTAATGACTTGGTCAGTTACAACGCTCGTGTTATTTGATTTGGTATTGGCATTCAGTGCCCTGTTGATTTGTGCATCATTGTAATCATTAAATTACAGCGCTTTTTTAATATGTTTAATATCACTCCTCAGACTATCACCATCCGACACTTTCTTAGCTCGATGTATGTATGAGCGTCTTGAAAGCCTACATGTTTTAAACCAAATGTATGTGTTAATTACGCTTAGCTGTTTAATGAATGAGGCATGTTTGAATGAACCGCAATATTAACCCCTTTCGTAACAAATCCCAGCATCTATAATGTCCCACTTACCAAGTCCCATCAGAGAGGGTAACCGATGCAATAATTTTTAACCCTGAAAAATCGTGATACAATACGTACCATAGCTCTTCCTGGAATGGTCAGCCTTGCAGTTTTGAATGTTCCGTCAATGACAAAGTCTCCGTTTTGGTAGGTAACATTATTTGGATCAGTAATGTGCATCTCTGGGACACTTGACTGCCAGGTGACCACGAATTGCGTGTTGTTCCCAATGGAGGCATCGATGTTGACGTCTCCATCCATCCACTGATTGCTGATGAGAACTTTACCGGTGCTCTCCAGCTGCCAACAAGAGTAGTAGAAATGAGCAACAGCCGATGCCAATCTAAACCAGGGGTCTCCAACCCCTGGGCCGCGGACCAGTACCGGTCCGTGGCCTGTTAGGAACCGGGCCGCACAGCAGCAGGAGGTGAGAGTGGTGAGTCCGCGCGTGGCCCGCCCCCATTATTTTATTGACCACTTCTGTCCGCGCCTCCTTCCCGCACTGCGCACTTGTCTCAGTCACAGTTTTTTGGTAAGCCCATAAGCTGCTAACCCCTAGCCAAAAAGAGTAAAACACAAACGTCGCTGGACAGCTTCTTTGAAAAGGGGGAAAGACCCAATGATGACCCCCCCCCCCCCGGTCCGTGAAAAATTGTCTTCCACGAAACCGGTCCCTGGTGCCAAAAAGGTTGGGGGCCGCTGATCTAAACGATTTAGACGATATCTCTAATAGTGATTGCCGTGGAGTTCCGTCGTTCAACCCCCAGCATTCTGGAGACCATGAGCCACCAACCTGGAGATGGAGAGATTGTGGTGGGGAGCATCACTGAGAGATGGGCACTTCCTCTCGTACTATAGATGTAGATATTCAATGAGCACATCATTCTTAAACATGTATGCCATTTTTCGATTTAAAGCTTTCGTGACTGCAGGGATTCATCTTCTTGGTTCTTTCGTGGTGGTGTTTCATTCTTCACCTGAGGACGGCTGCTTGCGTTGTGGCCGAAACGTCGTGAGCATTATTTTATTATGTTTTATTTTTATTATTTTATTACTTCCCTTCTACGTGACTTTACCGAAAGAACCAAGAAGATGTATGCCATTGTTATTGACCCTAGACACTGCATATACAAGTATATTCTTCCCCCATATTCCAGGGTTAAACCATTGTTTTTCTAAAAGACTCAGCTCAGGTGTTATTTGTCAACATAGAGCTTTCCGGTATTCCCTCGTTATTCACGAACTTGCTATCTGCGATTTTGGCTATCCACAAATCGCAATCTGGAACTCTACACGACTGCATCTAGAGAGAGAAAGAGAAATAAAGTGATGCGATAAAGTGATGAGATACAGAGATGTTATTATAATTTTCATGCATTGAATAGCTTATTTACGCATTTAACGTAATGCATTAATATGATATTCACAAGCATCTCCGGAATGTATCCCTTGCTAATAACGAGGGGGCACTATTACTCTCCACCTTCTCCCAGCCTCTTGCTCTCTCAAAGACCCCATGTAACCGCTCTCCCTTGCATTTATCTGCACCCTTGCTCACTAATTTTTTGCCTTTCTCACCTCTACCTGCGCACGTTCAAATCCTTGGCCAATCCTCTCCCCCTAGTTCTTTCCCCAATCGGGCAACCTCCTTCAAATTCGTCTTGGTGAATCGTCGCAATTCCTTCAGGTTCGGATGACCAAGAACCCCAGCACCCAGAATAGATCCAGGTCTCCCCCCACGCTGAATCCGTTATGTCCTTAAATACACGGGGTATCGACACCCGACAAGGACTTCTGCGGATTGATTCATCCATGTGAGTATGCGAATCATCAGAATGTGTGGCGCGGTTCATTATAATTTTATAAACAAAATTGTAAGAGAAGTGTTATGATATTTTATGTAGTGCCACAGATTACGCGTGAGCTGTTATGGGAAAAGTACATGTCAAAGTACAAACGGCTCTTGTTTTATAACAGTGCACTTAGATTGTGTGTCATGGGCTCTCTAACATGAATGAAGTCTTGTTAACAAAAGGCATTTTAGAAACGTCTCACTTTCATTCGCAAGGTCGTACATGTAGCTTCATGGCACCGGCTATGTACATCACGATGTATGGTGCACACTGGAAGCGATTCCATGTTGGCTATGAAATCCAGAACATAGCATTACATTTTAAAACGATTGTTGCAGGAAGTATGATTTTAAAATAATAAATCACAGCTCTTTGTCAATCCACTGCTGGATGAAGGCCTCCCATCACAATGTTGGTTGTGGGTGTTACTTCACCATACTTAGCCATGCAGGGCATTGCTGGTTGGTGCGGGATGCACCCAGGAATGGTTGAGATATCACTCGTCACTGATGATAGCTGGGGCCAGGAATCAAACTGAGGTCATCGGTTGTATGGCCCAGTGTAATAACCACCGCACCGCCATGCCACCTCAGTTATTTTAAATGTTTTAGTAATGTTGTGCTGCATTACCTGTATGACCAAAGCATCTGAGTCTCCGCTGTCTGTAGTGATGGATGTGAACGCATCCACAAGAGCATTGCCGTCCACGTTATCACTTGCAAAGAAGTTCAAACCACCTAAAACAACAACAGAGGCAATGGGAGACGTTATGGCACGGTGCTTCCCTTATTCTGGGACATTGGTTTAACTCTGGAAGATGGGAGAGAGTATAATTGTAGAAACCATTGGGTAGTCAGCATAACATGCATAGTTCAGTCCATTATTGTTGCCTTATTCTCTCACAATTGTGTTAAAATCACGCGATTGGCATCATATGAGATAAATATACATTTCCACTGAAACGCTAACAGGCAGCAGTGCACTACTTGGAGTTAGAGAACAGCCCTGGATGATGTAACAGAACGACTTCTAAACGTATCTTTATTGGGTCTGTTTATCAAAAATAGAGGCACACTTTCACAAGCCCTAAAATGGGCATGCATTTTTACATGGCAATAAAACTTCATTGTTTTTACTCTTCTAAACTTAGCAAAAAATGACGTTTTACTTGTGTTGTCATTTATGGAGCTAAACATCATAAACTTGCGACACGGAAAAAGTCCATGCAATCACAGGCGGTTGCTTTGATCAGAATACAACTTTGCTAACTCGGTGTTTTTGGCCTCCTGAGGCCATGATGAAATGGAACTTCACAGCCTCTTTGTCAGTCCCATGCTGGATGAAGGCCTCAGTCCTGGGCACCCCCTTTCACCCGCCACGCTGACAAGCATGGCGAAGTATGGTCAAACAACGCCCATAACCAGCGCGGCATGGAGATGATACTGTATGAACATACATTATTTCTGCCTTGCATTTACTGCTGCTCATATCCATTGGCAGCCTTGAAACAATCATAGTGATTGCACAACCCTATGACGTACGTGTTGTGACTGTCGCAGGTGTGGCCTTAAACCAAGTTCCCTCCTTTGGTTTCATTGATTGTAACTAATTTGGGGTGGAGGATGTGGACAATTTGATGAATGCATATTTTAAAATAGAAATTTAAAAAAATTCACCCGATAATTCTGCGAGCTTCTCGAGTTCTTGAACTGCACTTGGTCCCAAGGCAATGGTGTGAATGGTGCATCCACTGGTGCGAACGGCTTCAAAGCAAGAACTGATGCCACCATCCTCGCCATCGGTCATTAAGACAATTTCATCTCCGGAGGCACTGCCGTCATCTGCAGACAAAACCTGTGCAGAGGGACGTCAAAATGTAGCGTTTATTTTGACGTGCATCTTTAGCTGAGAATAAAGTCATATTCCTTGCATTTCCCTTGGGATGTCTCGTTATGCATTTAATGACAGTTCAAATGAGTAATATATTGCTGTGATTGATGTACGTGTCATTTATAATTGAGGCATAATTATTACACACAACGCGGTGCTTTTTTCCAACAAAAATTATGCCAACTCAATATGCGCCATTGTTTAGGGTCACGTGTCATCATTAAACATATAAACAGACAATTAGTTAATCCATAGAGTTATAGGTCCCCGTAGCTTTAGCAAAACCCTCTAGATAATAACATTTGTATTAATAGGCATGATTTGCTAATAAGACTCTCAAAGTTAAAACTGGCCAAGGATATCCCATTATACACAAAAGGCTGCTGTCAATTGTTTGTTCCAGAATACCCATTTGCTGATAGGCAAAACAAATGCATTTCATTTTTACATGGTGAAACTCCTGTCTACAAGAAAACAATCTAATAATTTGCGATCAAAAAATCCGTGAATCTGTGTAATTCGTGAATGATTGGCTGTTCAAGACTCCTCTTCTCATAATCCATAGAACACCGCAGCGAATAAAAACCTCTTCACAAACAGTAAACCGAGATCTACAGAAATGGGTGGGGCGGACTCGGAGCTGCGGAAAGGTAGCTACTGCAAGGAAAATACGGAGGTAAGATGTGTATCTTTTTTATTTGCAATGTTTATTTTGTTGTTTATTTTTGCACAGAGGCGCTGTGGTGATCCAATTCGTTTTTCAAGGACGTGACATTTGCGTTCCTTAAACTTGGATATCAAGTCCAGCAAATGCAAAAAGTCCTTAAACATAGACCCATATAGAAGATATATAACCTTTAACATATGGCAGATATGCACCATTTGGTCTTTTAAAAAAATGAAACCTTATAATGGCCAAATTTATTTCGGATTCATTTAGCTGCCAGTCACATCCCGCACTTCCCCTGTAATCCGCAACGTTCACACGGATTAATGGGATCACGTGGTTAATTATTCCCATAATTCGCTGTGCACTGCTTTGGCACCAACATTTTATCACGGATTACAAGTCTAACCTCAGAAATTCGCCACAAATTAAAGGATCTGCAACACGGTCCCCCCTATAATATTGTATTTCTGCTATATTTTGCATTGCTGCTAACACACTATAAAGGACACATCATCACATAGTTGCCATATTGTGACAACTGCCTTTGACGATTCAGAAAACAAAAACGTCAGATTTCACAACTTACCTGAAACCCTTTTGAAACACCTGCGCATATATTTGTTCCGCCCCCTGCACCTGTGGGCAAGCAAGACTTTAGTGCCACCCGGCTTCCAGTGTCCGTAATTCGTGTTAACCCACATTTGGTTTGGGCTGAACTGTCAAAAGTGACAATTCCAACCATGGCTCCTTCCTCCAAAATCTGCATGATGAATATGTCGGCCGCCTGCCGCAGTCTCTGCAAACGACTTCCCTGCACCCGAAGGAGAATAAAATAAAAATAGAGAGAGCAGGGGGTTTTAACACATGTACATTTATATAGTACGATACAAATTTACATTCACAAAAAGGGGATTTTAACACATGTACATTTATATAGTACGATACAAATTTACATTCACAAAAAAGGGGATTTTAACACATGTACATTTATATAGTACGATACAAATTTACATTCACAAAAAAAACATCTCAATGTGACCATATCTCAAGATGTTGCGCAATAAGGCGAAACGGTGACATCCTGCGAGTTTTAAGAGGGGGTGGGGGTTGGAGAAGGAAATGAGTAGAATTACATAGGAATTGTTTACATAACAGAAGTGTGAATGAAGACACTTCATAGAGATTGACATATGTAGCAGAGAAATATTGAACCTAGACAAGTGGGAGAGTCTCAGCGGTGTCAATGGCCAGATGAAGGGAATTTCAAACGGTGGAAGCAGCAGCAACAACATAGAACGCATTGCCTCTCATTGAGCAAACGTTGAATGAGACTTTTGATACGAGCCTTGGTGGCTCAAGCGGAGAGCACATAATGGGAGAGTTCGGCAAGGGCAAGTAAATGAGGGATCTAGAAGATGATGAGGGCGATATTGTAGTTGGTGCGAAATTATATTTGGAGCCAGAATAAGGATCTGCTTATTTGGGGCAAGGCCTTAATACAGGTAGGAACAACAGTTCCACACTGCCCACCAGGGATTATTTATCTGTCGTGCATAGCCGCTCCCAAACATGTACGTTCCCGGATTGGTTAAAGTGCGTCACGTGACCGCGAGCTTTCTATCGTGCACGAATGCGCTGTCCAACCAAGTTCCTACCTGCCCACACCGAAGGAACGTGTTTATGGGTGCGGGTGAGAACGCGTGTGGCATTTCGGATCATTTGGAGTTTTGTGGTGAGGAGTTTGATAAGGCCATAAAGGAGAGAGTTGCAGTCGCAGAGTTGACATGTGATGAAGGCATGGATAAGGGTTTGGGCAACGGATGGGATAAGGATGTGGAAGATTCAGGCATTGTTCTGCATAAATAGATTACGGTGGGGGGCAGTTCTGCAGAGCTGAGAGATGTTAGATGCGAAACTCATAGTTTTTGGACACATTTAACACAACTCCTTACATAATTTGGTTCATCAAGTTAACTACCCTTTATATGTGCCACACACACTGCAGACTTAAGTGCTTGCATTGTTGGCCACGCACATGCCTCAACTCTGTTTAAGAACGGGAATATCTTTGTTGTGCGAGTAAACGTAACTCACCCCACTCATGCTGCCCGATTTATCCAGAACAAGCGTGATGACTCGGTGGGATGGCCGCAGGAGGCTGAATGTCGGCTGTGTGGGCACGTCAGCGGGGGGTGGTTCGTTATTATTAAAATCTTCATGCTTCCCCATGATGTCCCAGGCACTGCTTGAGCTGCACAGTCGGTTTTGCAGATTCGGAGCATTTCTGTTGTGCGAGCTGACCGTGCAGAATTCTTCCACCTGCAGCCATACCGTCATGCATTTGGGCAAGGAATGTTCTTGATGTGGGTTGGTGCATCACCAACAGTGTTAGCTTGTCAAAGAAGAGCATTAATAGCCATTCAGTTATAATGGATGTAATTTCAACACGTAACTTGACAGCATTCACTTACTCTCGAAGAGACAAGGACTAGGAGATGCAAGAAACCACAGACCAGTGGGACGGCAGCAGCTTGGCGTTGAGCCAGCACCAACATTTCCCAAGCTCTACAGCCGCCTATATATTAAGATCTTTCCAGCCAAATAATAAGTGTTTCAATGCGGTAAGACACCGGAGCATCCGGAGATAACCCACGCATGCAAGGGGGGGGGGGGCACTATACCAGGGAGATGGAACAGGTGGAGTTAACATTTTTGCTGTACTGCCTTCTGGCAAGCCAGAGGATGACACCTCGATACACATGGGAAAGGAGTTTCACAACATTTGTACAATCCTTTGTACGATCCACTAAACATCGCCTCCATAGTTTTGAATTACAGGCGTGCACCACTGCCGCCCCGCTGCTACTCGTTACTTTATCGATGCTGCACGTTCTTGTTTGGAACCCATTTATTGCAATGTTTGCATAATTTCAGAGTTTGAAAATTTTACAGAATGTTGGCAACAATTGAAACCACAAAAAAAGTTACACTGAGACCTTGCACAATCACCACTTGATTTGTTTGAGCAATTAGCATGAACATTACATTTAATTGTCTTTGCACTATACGTTTGTCTGATAATTTCAGTTGTCTCGGGTATCATGCCAGACAGTTTAATCCAATGCATCACATGTGCCATGGACTCTAGTAACCCATTGTCCATTTATTAATGGCAAACATAACGTTGCAAATTTTATCCCCGTGCACAGTCCGAAGTCCCTTTTTTTTTAAACTCATTTCATATGCTGTAACAGAACAGGGTTAAAGAACATCGGACTCACGTTGTCAAGCCATTGTAGGGCCATGATGGACTCCCGTGCCTTCTGAACATTGTCGGGGAAGAACATGCAGCCCTGTTCAGGCAGTCCGTTAATTCCGACCTTGCACTCTCGCACTTTGCAAGAGCCAATAGAGCTGCAGCTCACTACTCCAGTGCCGCCTGTCACGCCTCTGGAGCACCTGTTATAGACAAGCCGATGCCATGTCAGAACACTGAACGAGTGCTGAAACCTGGGACCTCCTCCTGTGATTAACTTTGGCTTTCAAACGTAGAGAATTGGTAGGCTCAGCCCAGTCATCAGTGCGTAAATAATATTCATATTATATGTGATTTCTTATTTTTAAAGTATATTTCTAGCTCTGATGATCACTGACTTCTTGCAGTTTAAAGTGCATGTGCTTAACTTGTACTATGTCGATAAAAGGGAATGAATATGCCTCATGATGAATGTCATCTGCCACATGCCATTCTCTACCATGATGTATTTATATTGCTTTTTGCATTTTTTCAATGGAAATTTATGTATCTTATGACACAAAGTGGTATAAAATTTGGAAAACCCAATGTTTTTTTAACCATTATACAAAAGGGCAATAATGTTAGTTTACAAACTCAACAGGCACACCTATAGAGACCAGTCTCTTCACCAAATAATACAATCCGTGACTCACAAGGTCTTTCTGTGTCTCCTCCCATATTTTATTTGAATAAAATTAGCGTGAGTCTCGTCGTGAGACGAAAAATCCACGTGGATCTCTTGCAGAGCAGTGTTAGAGAATGGCCAGTGGAAGCAGATTATACAGAGCTACTTCGGAGACCCCTTCAAGTAAACTCTAGTTCATACACTAGGAGACAAACTTACCCACACTACCCTGCTACAAAGGATGGAATTCAGATCAACATTTTAATTTCTCACTTTTTGAAGAAAACCAAAAGAACGCGAAACACATAATTTAATGTAATAAGAAATCCGTTTTTTTTTAACCTCCATTCTCTGAGGATCTCTCTGGAGTCACTTGCCTCGCCGATATTTATCTGCACTTTTTTCTGACGGAACAAATGAGGCCTACGTGGTTGTAGGAGTGCAACTGTAAGAGATGTCAGGGGTAGGGATGGAGATGGACAGTGGGTTAAGGAGCACGCAGAGCGTTTCCACCAAAATAAGGGGGATTCCCACCAAAAGGAGTGAGACAGTGGGGCGGGAGCAGGGGATAAGGGAGGCAGCAGGCGAGGAGATATAAGAGGAGGGCATCGGGGGGCTCGAGAGATGATGGGGGGGGGGGACGGGGGGACGGACTGACTGATAGGTGTGAGCAAGTGTGGATAAAATACATGGCCCCCCCGCAACCTCGTGTCGGCTCATCTGCTACAAAACCAACCTTGTGAACTCGACATTATTGTCGTGCACGTAGAAGGGCTCATCTTCATTATATTCGTCGAAGAGGCCCCATCGGAGGTGCCCCCACTCGTGGACGAAGGCCCTTCCTGTGCATCGACACACAAACTTGCTTTCAGGTTCACGAGTCAATTGACATGTGACCCTCGGTCAAAAAAAATTATCACACTTCTTAAATGTAAAGATGCAGACTTAAAATCGCTTTCTTGCGCTACTGCCGTTGCAATGGCCTCCTACTAGATGGAGCTCTAGAATAGCTCCATCTAGAAGAGCCCCACCCTAGGGGATATTTGGACTTTGCGACCAGACACATCAAATGCCGTTGAAGAGGTGGGAGTATCCACATTTTACCGTATCTCACGTCAGCTGCCGATCGACCAACTGCGGTGTTCCCATATACACCTAAACCTCGTCGATTCACGGGTTTTTCTCATTCGTAAGTTTGACCATTTGCATCAAATTTATTGAGGTATAGTTATCTGATCACGCCCCTGTGGCTCGACTATTTGTGGTTGACAATGAGATTCGTGTATGCATCGTAAAGAGGTGCTGCACTGGTACTATAACTGCACACTACTCGCAATGATGCTTCTGCCGCGAAAGAACACACGTGCCGTCTGGTCTCCGTCTCGTCTCCAAGATTCAAGTTGAAGACAATCCTGCATTGGGATGTTTGGCGAAGTCCACTGCCGAGTGTTTTGTAGGTGGGAGGAAACCGAAGTGCCCGAGACAACCGCGGATACATAACATCGCCTAAATTTTGCTGTATATAAACAGAACGAGAAGATGCTGACAATCGGGTATATTTTGTGCCCAGAATGGGCAACATGATTTAATCAAATATATTACTTCACAATTGTAACAATCGGTAACTTATTTATCCTATAACTTCTTATGGGGATCTCACAACTTAGCCACTTACTTTCCTCTCCAGACTTAACTGCCTTCCAGCTGCTATTTAACCCTTTTTATGTCGACTCTCCTGCTCTCGAAATTGCCCCAACTGACAGCCTCGTGAATGTCCGTTAACCCCCCCAACTGACAACCTCGTGGGTGTCCGTTAACCACCCCAACTAACAACCTCGTGGATGTCCGTTAACCACCCCAACTGACAGCCTCGTGGATGTCCGTTAACCGCCCCAACTAACAACCTCGTGGATGTCCGTTAACCCCCCCCCAACTGACAACCTCGTCGATGTCCGTTAACCCTCCCAACTGACAGCCTTGTGGTTGTCCGTTAACCCCCCCCAACTGACAGCCTCGTGGATGTCCGTTAACCCCCCCCAACTGACAACCTCGTCGATGTCCGTTAACCCTCCCAACTGACAGCCTTGTGGCTGTCCGTTAACCCCCCCCCAACTGACAGCCTCGTGGCTGTCCGCTAACCCTCCCAACTGACAGCTTCGTGGCTGTCCGTTAACCCTCCCAACTGACAGCCTCGTGGCTGTCCGTTAACCCTCCCAACTGACAGCCTCGTAGCTGTCCGTTAACCCTCCCAACTGACAGCCTCGTGGCTGTCCGTTAATCGCCCCAACTGACAACCTCGTGGCTGTCCGCCAACCACATGCCATCTCACACCCACGAGCTGTCAGGGCGGGGCTCTGTACCACTCAGTGGTGCTGATAACGTTCAACATTCGGCACCATGAGTCGGGAGTCTCATCCCTGCAGTTCCCCGTTTTGGTGTCACCTCCCTTTATCATGTAGTCTCTCAAATTTGTTTTATGCATGAGGATTGTGTTTCACACGACACGTAAACAGGGATAACACTAATCCACACGGATACATTGAAGAAGCAATTTGCCATTCTCCATATACGTGCCACCTCACAGCCAAATGGGTTTGGCAGTTGCACAAATCTGCATGTGATCCAGCAAACCTTACACTCTATATTCTGTAATACAGATTAAGTATCATAAAAGTAGCTTGTAGATGTGCCATTGCAATTGTTTTTTCGGCCACGGAGTGCTGTCATGCTCTGGTTTTATCGCTTGAGATCCCAGGAAGGTAGCATGTAACATTCCAGTCAGGGGCTGACTACCCATCATCTCTGGGTTGATAAAATGATAACACTTTGTGATAAGTCACCAGTGGTAAGTTTTCGAACAACCTTTCCTTCACCATAGAAATGTGGAATTTCCATCACTTGCCACCAACAAGACATGATCACTGCCCCCATTGAGCAATTGGGTGGGGAAACATATTGACTTGAGGTTTTTGATCCACCGATGACTATGCTTTACAGTTGGGCCCACCAACCGTGTAGAGTGACTTTGTTTAAAGGTGGGGGCTCACACAAACTCAGGGGGTGGGGGGAAGGGGGGGGGCTCGACACATTCGATGTTATATAAACATTATACACGTTAAAGTGCTTTTCAGGAACGCTCTTCAAGAGTAGAAAGCCACTCGAGTAGAACTGCTTTATGCTTTAAGTTTGTTTGTCCTTCCCTGGCACCTCCGCTTAGCACGTTTGGCTAGGTAAGTTCAACATACGTACGATATGATTTTGTCCTGAATTCTGGCCTAGCTCACACCCCCAATATATATATATATATATACAAGGAAAGACTGCGACACCCATCACTTAATTGTTCAAATGTTTCCATTTTTCCCAGTTCCCTCCGACTACCGCAGACAGTTTGTATACCAATACCAAACGAAGCTCACGAATTAAAAGTAGAACACTGCAGCAGATCAAGTGCAATTGATGCTGAAAATTTTAAGAAAAACTGCTGCTGGTGTCCAATATTGTACCAACGTTTTTTTTTTTACACGACTATAACATGTTTCAAATGGGGTGCTCAGCTTTCAGGGGTGGGGTTCAGTCCCCTCCAGTCCCCCAGAATGGTGCTGGGGTGCCCCCTAAGAAGAGACACTTGGACAACACGCTCGTAACGCACAAAGCGGCAGATCGCACGCTTGACCCAAGGTCTAACCTGCACAAACGCGGCGTGATTTTATCTAAAGTGTAAGCTTTGTCCCGCAGTATGAATGTACCTCGTGGGCCGTACGCGTCCAGGTTTTTGTCATCCAGGAGGAAGTTGGGGGTGAGCTGAATGTACTGGCCGGGGTCCCCGCACAGCCCGTACTGGTGAGTGTACGGCGAGTCATCCTCGGGGTCGTCCAGAGAGGCGATACGCACCTCCGCCTGTGTTTTTATTTTGTGTGGATGGAGAAAGAAATGAGGGTGAATCCATCCTTTGGTCAATTGACATTTGTTGCATAATCATGATGATTCCCTAAGGCCAAATTTTACTTTTCTGGCATAAAAATACCTGACACCACTGAATGCTGCTGGCTGACTACCATTTATTTTACCATTAAGCCCTGTAATTGCTTGCTCTAACCACTGCTCGTGAAAAGGCCTCCGCTAGAGAGAGCTCTAGAAAGCCCCTCTAGAGAGTATTGGCCGACTCTCCAATGCTAACCAGACATCTCGGACAGAGGTATGAGTACCCACAATTTTGGCTCAGCGCACCATGACCTGTTCATCTCATTACTGTGCCCATTCATGCTGTTGAGTGGACAGAGGAGGTGGGGAGATTCAAGAAACGTTCCCCATTGTTTCAATTGTTGCGCTGGGAGTAAAATGTAGACTTCTGCATGACAATACCAGTGTGCTAACCATTAGAGCATGTAAAGCATCATCCGCTCCCCCCATTTCCGAAAGCGTGAGTGCAAACTAAACTTAAGCTCAACTATTTGTGTTTTGCAGGTAAGGCTCACTGAGCTATATAACTTTTTTTCAGAAGCGATCTGGCCACACATGATAGCCCAACGAAGTTGCTTATCACGTGGAAATTAATAGCAGTCAATTACTCGTAACGCATGTTTTGAAATGTGGAGAGAAAAACCGGAGGACCTGGAGAAAAATCCACGTGACCACGGGGAGAACATGAAAACTGCAAATATATAAGCGTCAGGGTCGTGATTGAACACACGACCCTCCTGTATACCAGGCAAGGTCGTTAACATCTCCTAGCCACCGAGGCGAAATTCAACGGGATCCGAAGAGAATCTCACTTTTCCACATGAATCTAGAGTTTTCATTTTAAGGATACGCAATAATTTGATCCGTTTTGTGTTCCAGTAGGAAACACATCTTCTAATCTCCAAACAATTCTTCACGAAAGCGTAATTGATGATGTTTGCCTTTATAGCTGCCCAAACCACCTTGCATTCTTACAGTAGTGCTGTCCTCCGAGGCAGGCTCCGTAACCTCAGACGAGCATTGTGCTTCTCTTTCACAATCTCATGCAGTAAAACATATTCTCAGGGTTCAAAGACGATTTGTCCCCCTCCCCGCTTAAAACACAGGGGAGGGGGTTCTATTTAACAAATTAATTGGTGGCATTGGTCCAGGAAGCACAATTGACAAATAAAAGTCCACACGCTCGTTGACAAAAGGAGTTAAACAGATGGTTGGTGCTAGATTTGAAGCTTTCGTGACTGCAAGGATTCATATTCTTACGTTTTTTTCGGTAAAGTCACGTAGGTAAAAAATTTAAATTAATAAACCTAAGAAGATGGTTGGTGACGTTTCGGGCCAAAGCCCTTTTTCACAGGAATTACCTTCTGCTAAAAGGAAAGGACTTTGCCCTAAACGTTGCCAAGTGTATATTTGTTTTCTCTTTGAAGCCAGTGTTGTAAACGAGTGCGTCGTGGTTTATATGTTCCGTGGATCCAAGTATTTTATCAAATATCTAATCTTGATGGAATGTATTTACGTAGAGATATAATACGGTCCAAATAAAAGAGTCGTGTGAGAAAACATTGCACGAATTAATCAATGACATGCATACGTCACATTTAAGTGGTTTGAAGAGTTAAGGCGTTGCACCCATTTTACCTCAGGGTCATTAATTAACCTCACGAAACACCTTTCTTGTGTCTGTGACCAGATCACCCGGAATGCGCCCGGTCCTATAAGATCTCAGAAGTTAAGCAGCCTTGAACCTGGAGAGTGCTCGGATGGGTGACCATAATGTGCATTAAACAGGGGCAGTAGGCGCTGTGGACAGCATCGAATGGCAGTGCAGCAAAAAACATCGCTCTGTATCCCCCCCCCCACCTTCACCAACATGGTGAAGTATTTGTTAGACAACCCTCACGACCCGCACGGTGTGCGTATAAGCCCTCATGCAACAGTGCATTGACAAATGGACACAATTTTGATGGAACGTACGTTACGTATGTACGCACACAATTTTGATGCAAAGAATCAAACCATGCCACCAACTTCCGGTATTCTCTCATAAGCATTGCTTCAAAAGATTGTTGCTTCAGCGCAGATTGAAACATGCCACTTGTTACTTTGTGCTTATGTTATTTGAATATCAAGAGTTGTGTTAGCCACGCAAACAAGTTTAAAGCATGAATGGAAACAATTTATCACCACTGTCTAAACTCTGGAAACGCTACTTGTGCTGAAGATTTCAGGTTTTTTTTTAAATCAGCTCTTACCTTGCCATAGGACTCGTGTTTGGGTCGTGTGTAGTTTGATTGTGAGCTCCAGGAAGATGGAATTAGAATGCTGACGTGTTTGAAATACGCCAGGCGGTGCGTTGCCTTGAACAGGTAGGCAGAGGCATCACTGACCATATCCTGCGAGAAACAGTTTTCAAGACAGCAACAAATAAGTTACCAGTTGTAATGCTTTATGTCAAGTCCAATGCTTCTCTGTGCAAATTGGCTAAAACCACATAATCATTCTAACTATCTTTTATTTTACCAGGTAAGGCTCACTGAGCCATATAGCTCTTTTTCAGAAGCTGACCTGGCCACAAATGATAGCTCAGCAAAGTGGCTTATCACGTGGAAATTGATCGCAGACAAATACTCAAAACACATGTTTCTAAGTGTGGGGGTGTGGGGAGGGGGGAAATCGGAGGACCGGTGAAAAATGCGTGCGACCATGGAGAGAGAGACACGCAAACTCCAAATATACAGCAGGCGTCAGGGTTGGGATCAAACCCACGACCTCCTGCATATCAGGCGAGGAAGAAAACATCTCCTAGCTACCGTGGCGCCAACATTTAGTACACGTATAAATGAAATAACGCGGATCACAATGATTTGATGTGTTCACCGTAGCTATTGCAAGCTTGTTGAGATTCAGAGCGCACGTACAGGAGAACTCTTTATCGGTGGTGATGGTGATGTGGGTTGGGGGGGGGGGGTCAGACGGATCCTATTATACACAGCACAGGATCAACGATTTTTGGGTTTAGATCGCGTTATTTATAAATGTGTCGTAACCCTCCACCACCCGACACGGCCAATCAGTAAAAAAGTGTCACGTTGACAAAAGACAAATAGTTCACTGCTTTAGCCCACCGGTGTGTTGAAGCTTGACAAATGACAAATAGTTCACTGCTTTAGCAGTGAACTATTTGTCTTTTGTCAACGTGACACTTGTTTACTGATTGGCCGTGTCGGGTGGTGGAGGGTTACGACACATTTATAAATAACGCGATCTAAACCCAAAAATCGTTGATTATGAATAACATTGGTCGCGAAAGCCTACGTGTTGAACTGACAGCACAGGATTATCTACTAATTTTATTCCACTTATCCAAGGGGGGAAATAATGAAGAATATGATGAATAGGCCCGTTTGTACAGACCCCACAGCTCTCACGGATAATAGGAGTTGTGGGTATTAAGATGATGGATGAGTGGAGTTTTCCTGTAATTAAAATAATGCAGTGTGCAGCTGTCAACTTCATCTGCAACAATTTGTCCGCCAGGACGTTGAACGTGCAACAAGCAAACTGCCTAATTCTATACAGAGGCTTTCACGACCAATATTATGATTCATGATTAGATTATTTTGGATTAGATCGTGTGGGTATAATGTACATTCTTTAATTAATACCCTCCACCATCAAACAGATTCAATCAAATAAATCTGTCATGTGGGCAATTATGCAAATTGATTAGTTTTTAGCAAACTGCTGCCATGTTGGCAAGCAAGTAACATTTTGGCAATTTTTGTACTTATATTCTTGTATAAAATTGTAAAAAATGCTTGCTTGCATTTAAGCATTGCAGCAGTTTGCTGAACATCAAATCAATTTGCATAATAGCCCACGTGACAGATGTATTGTACTGGCACTGTGGAGTGATGAAATGATATTTTAAACATCGACATTATACTTACAAAATCTACTGCGAAAGAAACACATTATGAATCAAAATAAACTGCCTCGTGTAATGATATGTATAAACATGATTGCTTAACTTATTCTTTGGGTCTTTCGGTAAGAATTTTTTTTAAATATGCCCACAATCCCTTAATAACTTGCAAAAAATATAGCAAGCTGTTAAAAATGAAAGGCCAAACTTTGGAAGCTTAAAGCAGTATGGCATCAGAGAACTAGTAGAGTTATTCCAATAACCCCATTCAAGTCTTGTTTGCAGCATTGTGAGCCCTGATACAGTCTGACTGGAGCAGTGCAACAATGATAGCTTAAAAAAAAATCCAGTCACTGTAATATTGCGACTTTTTGTAAAGAAATTCAAATGAAAAACAAAGCAACTGCATTAGCAGTGGTATACAAGCAAAAGCTAAAAACAAAACCACCACCTTCATCAACACTGCCTTATTGCCGAAAAAACACATTAAGTAAACTACTATATAATTACTGTATAACATAGTTAATGATATTCTTGGTTTTTTTCGGTAAAGTCACGTAGGTAATAATTTAAAATTAATAAAAGTTAAATAAAATAAAAAAATAAAATAAAAATCACGACGTTTCGGAGGCAACACAAGCTTCCGTCTTCAGGTGGAACCGTCACAGCACGCTTGCTGTACTTCGTCGTGATTTTTTATTTAATTTTACTTTTATGAATGTTTTACCTACGTGACTTTACCGAAAAAACCCAAGAATATGAATCCTTGCAGTCACGAAAGCTTCAAATCTAGAAATAGTTAATGATGGTGGCAGGTCTTTGGTTTTGTGTGTTTGCTAATAAGCAGTTGCTGCAGGGTTTTTTTTTGTTCTGAAAATCCAAATGGACCTTCATCGAATTCGATTAAAAGCAAAAAAGCTTCATACTGCTGATCTCCATCCACTCACCTTGATGGCGTCGACGAGTAGGGGGTCCTCCGGCACGGCGGGGTTGATGGCGATGACCAAACCCTCGTAGCCGTTGTCGATCAACTTCACTCGCGAGCCGTGACTCAGCCCGACGGCCGCGCACAGCACCGCGGCCAGAGCCACGACGATGTTCATGCTGCGCTAAGTCAATTGATTTGACAGCAAACCTTGGGAAGAGGTTAAATGCAATGCACTGATTTACCTCGTTGCCTTATATTCGCAAGATCCCGTGTTCACCCACCCATCATTCCTTTAGCACCCACATCTAATCATCAAGATAATGTTGATTGTCTTTCACCTTTGCTCAGTTGCATTATTTGCTATCTCAGGTTGCTGCTTGGAATGGCAGTGCAATCTGGGTACAGGTAACGAACCTGCTCCAGGTACCGACGCCTGCTTCTATAGTCGTGTCCTATTTTGCTCCGTTTAATGACAGGGCTTGTGTCGGGGCAATACAATTCCACTTTCAAATTCCGACACTCAAGGGGATCACCCCGAGTACTAAAACCGTTGAATGCAAAAGTAATCTTATCCAAGCTGTTCGACATGTACATCTTAGATAATCTCGTTGGATGCTGATAGCATTAGATCAAGTCACTTTTAAATAAAGACTGCTATTGTCACCTGTCCAAGGTCTTGTATAATGCAAGACTTGCCATTTTCGCAGAACTTAAAATAAATAAAAAGTCTAAGGTACAGGTGATATCTACCCGTGTTAGTTTTACCATCAAAGTGTCGATAACTATGATCACACTAAGCAGTATGATAAAGCACTCGCAGCTAGGGTCGTGGCAATCTAGTGATACTTTGATATACCACAAACATTGTATCGTCTGTTGTGCAACATATAATACTGTCATTTATGCTATTTTACTTTTATTAAGTATATGATTTCCTATCAAAGTAACAAAACACCAATAATACAAACTCTAAGACGTAGGCTTTCCTGACCAAAATTACGATGCACATTTCTGGCAAGTGCCTGGTGATGCTGGTTGTGACTACAAGGGAAACATCTGTAGTCAATTGTTCAATGTTGTGGATCGGCTATTTCCGACTAAATTTATCATTTGCAAAAGGATTTTCCAAAGGAATTGACATCATGTACATTATGCCACTTTTTTTTTATATAGTTTAACCACTCAATGTTTAACTGACAGCATGTGCATTATAACCGTTATTGATTGTAAGTGTGTTTATGGCAGGCTTTTGTTGAATCACGTGCAGTTGAAGAACTTTGAGGTCTTATTAATTTGCTTGGGAAGGACGCAAAAACTATCCAAAAAAATGTCATACACAATTGTAAATTGTAACAATTGTCATTTGTAAAATTCACTGCCTAGCCTGACTACCTACTCACAGCCAAGGCTGATTTCCTTCTCACTGCCTAGGGTGTAACTACCTCTTCTCAGCCTAGGCTGACTAATTACTCAGAGCCTAGGGCCATCGGCTCTGGGACCCTGGGCGGCCCGTGCAAATGGCCAAGACAACCACTGCTCATATTATCTTCACCTGTCACCAACTCGCCCCCCAAATTGACAAGGCCACGTGGTTGCTAAAAATGGCAACCCACGTCGCCTTTGTGGTTGCCATTTTTGTTGTCGTGGTAGACTGTGCGTGCAGAGTTCTGGTGTGGGGCTCGCATTGTGGTTTATTGTTATTACTGCGGTGCACCGTAGTTGTGTGACGTTGATGATGGAATGCAGTTGTAGTTGATAGTGTTGGTGTGTGTCATTGGAGTGAACTGTGAACTGTAATTAGTTGACACCTTGTGCGATCATGGAACATTCCCTTTGTCAGGTAGATAGATACCCTTGTCAAGGGTGACAAAGTACGATTTCAAAAAGGTCCCTCACGTCTGTCATGAATAAACAACGGACTCCGGTCCCTCACTGGTTCCACCCGTTGTGATATCGTTGGGGTCAGTGAAGAAGCAGAGGCTGCTAAGAATCACTGGGTCCGAACAGGGACACCTGGACAGTTTAACACGCAGGCTTTGGCCACCAATATTATCCATGATATACGTTTTTTCTTTTGGGTAAGATTGCGTAACTATAAAGGTGTCGTAAAACCCACCACCACCCGACACAGCCAATTATAAGGTTTGTCACGTAAACAAAACGTGCCAATTCATTACTAGTCCAGCACCGTGGTTGTGTGTTGGAGAGTAAACCCACAACATTTCGAGTGTGACGTTTCGCCAGTAATTACAACTCGCATCATAAGGTGACAGCCAAATTTGTGGTGGGTGGTGGTGGGTTTAATAACACATTCATATTTACGCAATCTAACCCAAAAACCTTGATTATGGAGGACACCTGGAGTTGATAGCAGCCCTGTACAATACGTAGGCTTTGTTTGCCAAGTAAAGCGTGACGAAAAATCGACAGGATTCGAGATAAATAAATAGGGACATTTGTTGGACCCAGTAAGGTGAGGGAAAAGGTAAAAAAAAACTACATACATTTAAAAAATAATAATAAAATTTGGATTTGAGAAATAAATACGTGCATTCTTACACTCTTTGTTTTTTCGCTAAAGTCACGTAGGAATTTTTTTTTTATAAAAAAAATTATCACGCCGTTTCAGGCACAACACAAGCGTCCTTCTTCAGGTGGGGACAACGTAGCAAGAGCACAACCGCTTAAGTGTGTACATTCTCGTGTAGAAAAAAAACAATAACCATCTCAGATGTTCTGGCTGTTATGAACTGGAGGAAATGTTAGAATAACGTTATAAAATTATGCTGCAGGGTTGAGTGCAGGATAAACGAGAGAAGAAACAAGGTGGTAGACAACAAGTCCACTAGACAATTGCAGATGTCTGTTGGAGGGACACGACTAGAAAACAGTGGAAATGTGTGAACCTATATAATCGATTGTCACAAATAGCTCTCTCTATTCACTACAGTAATTTTTCTGCGGCTGTTCCACCTGATGATGGAAGCTTGTGTTGCCTACGAAACGTGATTTAATTTAGTTATTTAAAAAAATCATCTACGTGGCTTTACCGAAAGAACCAAAGAGTCTGGGAAAACTATTGAAGGCGAAACAGCAATTTTTTTTTTACCTGCAAAGAGGTGGATGAGAACAGATTGGGGGGGGTTTGTAAATCGAAACTTGATAACGAAACAAAATAAAGAAATGTGGCCTGCAGACGATGGTGTTTAATCAGTGTGTATTGCCTGCTATGACACTTGCTTAAAAAACAATGTCATTGACAAAAATAATGTAATAAGAACTTAAAAGTGCTCAAAGGAGCGTAGAGAGATACCTGCTTGGAATTGCACTGAGAGACAGAGAGAGAAACGCGTGGACTGGAGGACACATTTAGGTTAATGAGGCATTTCAAACTGTCAAGAAAAGTAAGTGCGGCTTGGGCAGGACAAGTCACGAGGAGGAAAGATGGTCGATGGTAAAGTATAATGACGAAGTGGGGGCCAAAGAATGGAACACGCGCGAGAGAGTTTTCACAGAGAAGATGTAGTGATAACATTGGCTAGTGTGCAGTTACTCCCGTACCTCCAGTTAGCATATTCTAGATTTGAAGCTTTCGTGACTGCAAGGATTCATATTCTTAGGTTTTTTCGGTAAAGTCACGTAGGTAAAAAAATTAATTAATAAAAGTAAATAAAAATAAAATAAAAATCACGACGTTTCGGAGGCAACACAAGCTTCCATCTTCAGGTGGAACCGTCACAGCACGATAGCTGTATCAAGTTAGCATGTTTTGCTACGTACACCGCGAAATAAGTTCAATATACTTGCTGGATTATTACATACCATGATCACGAGAGATGTATGTATGGTGAACTACTTTCACAGACAACCGTGCTAATTAGAGGTGTGGGGGAAGAATAACAAACTAAACACAAAGAACAGTTCTTCATAAAAGAGTTTTCAATCTACATTTAAAAGTGCATAACTCCAGTGGCTTCCTAATATCGGAAATATCGCGGTGCCTTGGGGAGGCCTTCATACAGCCATGGATTGACAAAGGACTACATTTATTTGTGATCCAGTGCTTTGGGAGAAAGGGTATGTTGATCTTGCAATTTTGTTTAGAGATGGCTACTATAGCAGACGGAGTTAATAATCCGTCTGTGTGGCTTTTCGAGTACCATATCCCTGCATGAATCAGGGTTTCTTGTTTCCTCCCACATAAAAAAAAACCCCGTTGAACATGAATCCATGAAATTGGCCAAACAACACTAATTCAAGGCGCTTCTGAAAAAGGGGACGCTTTCACAGTGATAACCTGTGTGACATTTTCAAGAGCAGGCAATTATGTATGACTGTGATGAATCGTTGAAAAATAAATAACTGATCTAGCGATGACATGAGTCATTGCAAGTTTTGTATCACATTTTTTTTCCACATCCAAAGCTACAGCCAGCCTTTTTACCCAGCGTACCGTTTGCATATTTATACTTCCTGTTTTGCAATATACTGTTCGACTTCCTTTTATGCAAAGTACCGTTTTTCAACAGCAAATGTTGATCCAGTTGTTGACCAGTGGTCTGATTGACATATCTCTACAGATTTTAAAGCAATTTTGTTTATGCATACTACTATAGATTATATCTGCATGGCAATGGGAAAAAATTGGAGTGCAGAAAAGTGATTCGAAACGTGACCCCAAATGGCGACCATTTCTAAAATCCTGGAGCTAACCAACGGTTATATACCTACGTGACATATGCCAGTTCATCATTAGTAATGATTCGGCCATTGCTGGATGATGACCTTCCCAAGTTGTGACATATCCCCGTTAACGCTGTTACAAATGACGTTACGTTGTTATATGGAACTACGCCTACGGCACACGAGAAAAGGCTTGTACACTCATCTGTTTCAATCAGGGCAATTCATCGACCGCGTATTGATCCTTTACTCATAAATACGTAATTTGCATCAGATGACGTATTTAAGGTCAATACAGCAATGGGGAAATGCTGAGCAAAAAGGGTTCTGTATAAGGTTCCTTTGCGATATCAAACTCACAATGACTCATGTGGTTGTGTAACAAGAAGTCACCTTAAAATATTTAATGTTTTCCCAAGGTGGCCAAATGCAGTATTTATTTTAAATGATTAGCGGGTGACCAGTCATCCTATCAATCATTGTGAAACAACACGTGGCTTCCTCATATATACATTGAGATGTGTTTCTGTCGAGTAAACATTGCCAATGCATCAGTTAGTTTCCATG